TAGAGATAATACTGAAAAACATAAGGACCTAAACCCTGACAGTGCAAAAAATATTGACAACACAAGTAAAAATGCAGAGCCATTGATCAGTTTGGATGTAAATAATTCCAATTTTAAGGCCAGGGTAACGGCTTTGGCCCACCTCCTTCAGATTCAGCACCACGATGATCACCTGGTAGTGCTCAAGGCAATTCACATTTTGCTTTGGGAGTGCCTAACACAGGATGTTATGGTTTATGTGTATTTGTCCCCCCAAAGCCTCATGCAGTCACTGAGGCACAGTTCTACATGTTGTGATTAATTCAAGATCCAAGGCTGGGATTATAGGTCTGAGTACTGCTGGGATTATGGGTGTGAGTGCTATTCCCAGCCTGGGGCAGATAGTCTGAGTGTAGCATAAGAGAGACAGAGAGACAGACTTGCTCTCTGTAGCTAGCCTCTGTTGCCGTTGCTGCTGCTACTCTTCCATTTTTCTCCCTGCTCTTTGCTGCCACCATGAAAGGTTACTCTCTGCCATGTGCCACTCTACCTTGGAGCCAGCTGAGTATGGACTGAAACCTCCAGTAACTATGAGTTGAATAAACCTTTCCTTCCTTCATTTTGGGTGTCAGGTATTTGTCCCAGCAATGAGAGAAGAGTAAGTGAGACACAGGATGCATTTGCTAAAGCAAATCAGACAAGAGGGTTTGCCTGTTGCTGAAGACAAACATATTCTTGGTTTGGACACAGGAGACGCAGTTTTTAATGAAGCTGCTCAAATTCTGTGATTCTTGCATACAGAAGAACTCAGAGAGCTATAGACAAAAACTAATGGAGTCATGGCCACTGTTCAGGCAACGATTGCTGATTTAAAGACCGACCACAGACTGGGCAAAGTTGGAAGATGAACACTTCAGGCTTCAGCCCCTTACCTGCTTAGTGTAGTTGGGAGCTGTATCCTTCTGGCATGGATTTGGAAATCAGAGCTCACTTTGGAGGGAGGAATCCTAGAAAACTGACCATGTCCTAAAAAGTTACCACCACAGTTGCTTTTTTGCTTCAATAAAATTTAAGAAAGTGGAAAAAAAATGATATATTTGTAATTTTCACCAGTTACGTTTAAAAGCTTTGAAAACCAAGATAGAACTTGCAAATGTGATGATCTGAAGTTGCATAGACCCTGAGGAAGAAGTTTGGCGCGGAGCTGGGGCGCTATGCATCTCTTGCACAATGACACAAGTCCTTGGGGATCCTTTATGTTTCAGTGAAAGTACTGGTGTTGCATCATCTTCTCATTAAGTAATTGTGATGCAATATATTTTGGGGTTAAAACGAGATGATTATTTTTCTTTTGTGGGTTTTTTCCTTAAATTACTGTTACATAATCCTTTAGCCTGCTGTGAATTTGAGTTGGCCAGGAATGAGAAACTGATAGAAGACAACTGCTTGTGTTTCCCTGGAATTTTTAGAAATATTGCCCAAATTTGCACCATTTTTCTGTAATAGAAAATTAAGATGTTAAAACACTCTTCTCATCCATCTTAATTATAACCATTACCTTATTTTTTGCTTTAAGTGGTTTTTAAATGTATAATTATTGAAAACATATTGAATACAAAATTGATTACTGTATTTGGAAAATACTTGTTGAAGTAACTGAAATTTACTCCTGTTCTTAGCTATACAAGTAGCACAGAATTTTAGGTTCTTATCTGACAAAATTTCTCAAAAGTTAAGCCAAATATCTGTAAAAGGAAAAATATCCAAGTTAAAAAAAGCTACTACAAAATATATTTAAACATATTCAGTGCATGACAGAAAAACTTCCCATGAGTCAACCCTTAAAAAGTGGAAAAAAAGGAAAAGGGAGGAACAGTAGCAGAGAGCAAGCCTCTTTCCCTCCCTTCTCTTGCATTCAGGCTCTCTGCCCCAGTGTGGGTGCAGCACTCACACCCATAATCCCAGCAGCACTCATGCCCATAATCCCAGCATTGGATCATGAATCAAATCACAAACTCTAGAAGCCCACCACCCAATCACTGCATGAGGTTTGGGGGGTGGGGGACAACTAGACGCAAACCATAGCAGCTATACATAGTAATATAAATAATAGTTATAATGATAATTATTTCATTATTTAAGCTATGAAAGCCATAAACATATATAAAATCCATAAAAAGAAGAAAATCTTAACATCTTTCACAATGTGGATGAGCCTGGAGGCTACTATGTTAAGTGAAGTAAGCCAGGTACAGAAGACAAATACTTCATAATCTCATTCATATAGAGAATTCTAAAAAAAATTGAACTCAGGAATTTGATAAACTAATTGAAGTTGTGATTTTATAAATCTGCTTTGGTTTGGAGTGTTATTGCCTGTTGTACTTGCACTGAGGCTACGTGATGTCTTACTTAGCTTTTTGATAGCTTTTAATTGCAAGAACATCTTGATGTTAGCTGACAAAGTGGACTCCCCTCTTCAGCTTCTCCCCCACATTTTCCTTCAGCTGTCTAACAGCATAGCCAGTCAACATGTCCAAAACTGAACTGCTGCTTTCCCAGCTCCAGAATCTTCCATCCCAGGGTTCTTCTCTTGGTCGAAGGCCAGCCCGCCATCCTAGCTCCCTGAGGCAAGAAATTTCCTTTTCCCCAGCATTGCACTTCCAGTTTGGCAGATGACTTTGCCTTCCACATGTCTTCATTCAGAATTCAGACCGTGTTACTACCTCCATTGCCATTTCTGGGGCTGAGCCAGCACCACTACTTGTCTAGATTATTGCAGTTGCTCTTAAGGATTCTCTGTGCTACTGTTGGTGTCTCCTGATTTTCTGGGGCAAAGCAGCCAGAGTGATCCTTGTAACGCATGAATGAGATCATGTCTCTGTGCTGCTGCTGTCCCTTCCCATAGCTTCCCATCTCATCTGCAAAAAGACCAGCCAGAGTCCTCTCAAGAGCCCACAAAGCTTTTCTTGATTTAGCACCTTCCACTTGCTGGCCACATCTCTCAACCTCTTGCCCTTACCTTCCCCTTTCATGCCCTACTGGGCTGTAGGCCTGTCCCTGGGCTCTGGGCCTGTGTCCTTCAGCTTCATCTACCAGGCATGTTCTTCTCCCTGATATCTGCTTAACTAACTCAGCATTTTTTTTTTTCCCTCAAAGTTTTGTAGTGGGGCCTTCATAGGCCAGTCTATTTAATATTGCAATGGCTGCTTCTCTTGCCATGAATTGCCATCTTCTCCTGACCTAACTCTTCTGTACTGCCCATAGCATATGACTTTCTGACGTACTAGGTCATTTGTTATGTTCATTATCTGTGTTCTGTCTCTCATTTCTAGAATATAAATTCCTTTAAAGTGGGATTCTTTTTCACTTTTATTCCAAGTGTCTAGAATAGTGTCTGGCATATTCAGATTCTCTCAGGTGAGCCTCCAACACCCAGCACCACAGTTCAGTTCAGTTCAGTTCAGCTGGGTGTTACAAGTTGACCATCAGTTCAGTAAATATTCATTGAATGAACAAATAAATGATCACCACATCTAGTGGTAAAAACCTGGAGGCCATGACCTCAAGAAGGGAGCGTTGTTCATGGTTCCGAAACACCAGGCCAAATAGCAACTATTGGCATACGTACTTCTGTTAGCCTGGTTATTTGCCAAACTCAGGTCAACAGCTTGGTGACCATGGGCAGTGGCAGAAGTTCTGTGCCTTGGTTGCCTATCTAAGAAACAGGAATAGTAGCCTCTGCCATGAATTGACAACTGCTAGTCCATTTCTAACACCTGGCTGAACTGAACGAGTGTGGTGCTGGGTGTGGGAGGCCCCCTGAGGATTGCTGCTGATAGCATAAGAGGAAGAACTGGAGAGGAAGTTTAGAAGCTGTTGGGAGCTGTTAGCTCTCTTAGAGGAGCTTGTCATGCTTGCTTTTCTGATGGAATGAGGCTGTTCTCATCATCGAAGGAGCTCAGGACCCTATTGCTGCTGGGAATGGCTGTGGTTCACTTTGGGGGAGCTCTGGCCCTTACTTTGAGAATCACTTTCTGGCTCTGGAGGTGAAGATAGTGCACTGCTCAATCTCCTGGAGAAGCTTGTACTGGCTTTCCTGATGGGAGCTTGGTTGTTTTCACTGTTGGAGCTCAGGACCTCACTGTTGCTGAGGATGGCTGTGGTACTTTTCAGGCGCACTCTGTATCTTACTCTGAGCGTTGCTTCCTGGCTCCAGCGCAGGTTCCTCAGCCTGCTGGCACAGACTTTTTAGCTTCTACCACTGAACTTGAGGCCTTCCTGGTGTAGATACTTGACTGTGTCTTTTTTTTTTTTTTTTTTTTTTTTTTTTTTCGGAACCGGGGATTGAACTCAGGCCCTTGCGCTTGCCAGGGAATCACTTACTCCACTAAGCCATCTCCCCGGCCCCTGGTGCAGATACTTGAAACAGGTCTCCATAACACAATTCTGTGGGCCTCTGCCCTTTAGTTGGACTCATGGGGGACACTGTTATGGGCTGAACCATTCCAGAGCATTGCCATGGGGTCCAGGCCTTCAGCTGGATTCTTTGGTCTTAGTGTGTGAACAGCTTTCCTGTGCTGTCTTTGTATCTGACTCTTTGGGTGACTGTTATAAAATAATGATATAAGTTATGTGTCCTATATTGTCCCTCATGCAAACCCCAAACCCCAACATCTTCTAATGTTGACAAACTTTCTCAAGAATTGGAAAATAAATAGTATGTATTATTTTAGTCAGTGAGAAAAAGCCATCTGAATTCTTCAAACCCATGTTGTTTTGAGGTAAGATAGAACATAAAGATCGGTGGAAAAGAGATGAGGAAATTGTAATTCTGAGGAAGTTATACAAATGCAGCTTTAACACATTGAAGTCACCCAAGGTTATAAAGCATTTTTCAGCCTAGGCCTGTTTCTGTTCCAGTCTCCTCACTCCTTAGGTTCCTAAGAGTCTTAAAGGTACTATACATCCATAAATTTGACCTGTGTTTTTCTTTTGATTCTTTTTTCTTTTTTCAAATTATATGTTTTATTTTGTATTCACTGTTGCACAGTATCAGAAGATGTTCCAAGCTGCAGTTCATTATTAATAGCATTTCTTCATTGTTCTCCTGGCAAATCTGATGACATGCTCGATATTGGCGTGTGGTGGAATGGCACAGAGTAGTCTGTTAATGAAGGCAGAATAGCAGCAGGATCAACTGAAGTCACACTGGGCACCCTTATAGAAGATGGCTGATACATGACAACCCCTCTGGTTGGGCTGCTTTGTGTTTCAGACATAAAGATGCATTTCCTTTTGGCAGGAGGGTCTTCCTCTTCATCAGAAGAGCTTTCTATTGTTAGGTCGATAACATCCACTTTCTTCTTGCTTGCTTCACTGGCTACAGTAACTGAACAAGGCTTACTGAGGACGCTTGAACTTTCTATTTTTGTACATGGCTGGCTGGATACTTTCATAGCTTCTTTCTTCGGCCTCATTGGACACCAAGAACCATCTTCTTGGAATTTGATCTCATCCACATCAGAACAGTCATTGAGAATTTCCATAAAAAACCCATCTATTATTAGACTTTTGTATGCAGCTTTTTTATCACACACTGGACAAATCCAGGTGGGCTTCTTTTCATTCATTTGTAGATAAAGGGCAGCATCAGAACACTGCAGATGGGTACACGTCACTGCACGGCATGGGACCTTTAGTCTCTTTTTTCCTAGAGGGCATGTCAAGGACACCGGAAGACTAGTTGTAGCAATTTCACTATCAGGATCTGCAGTAAGTTTTTCTTTAATTATTGCTCTGGAATGATCAGGGTTTCCAATACCTTTCATTCTCAATCTCTGTAGTAACATGGCTGATGTCAGTTGTCGTACAAGATGTACAGACATGGAATAATTCTTTCCAATTTCAGATGCCCAAGAAATACAAATCTGGTTTGGCACAGCTGAAGACAACCTAACTAAAGATGTAATATTCAAAGGGCATCCAGGGTGCTTCTGCTCAATCCCATTTTTTAATGGTGGTGCATAGCCAGGTAAAGGAAACAGCTTCCCATTTACTTTTATACACAGAGTATTCGGATAGTTATCTTCTTGAGGACAACTTCTCTCTGCCAGGTAAAGTCTCAGCTGAACCTGAACTGCATAATCTCTCTGACCACCAGGCAAAAAGTCCCTTGATATGCATATCTCTCTAACTTGTTGTGGTGTCAAAGCAAAAATAAAGAACTTCTCTTGAAATCATTGAATACTGCTTTGAACTAAACTTGTGGGCTTGATGAGAACATCAAGGACATCATAAAAAGGCAGGTTTTTTAACTGCACATCAGGATGGACAGGAGGAGTTGGAGGAGATGGTTGCTGCGTCTCAAAACTGGGCTTAGTGTCTTGCAGTAGCACAGAACCAACAGGAGAGTACGGTGAGTAAGATGTTACTGAAGTAGCAGGCAACGAGTGGATTCCCGCCACAGCCAATCTGGTTCTACAGGTGATGAGCTACCTTCCAAACTGAAAACTGATGGTTTGATTGTAGATAAATCAGAAAGCCCTTCAAGAGTCCGTGGATACCGGCGTCTATATAATTCTCAGATTTTAATCTGAACCACAGGGCTGCAGCCGCTCTTCAATAAATGCAGGACCCTCATCAGGAGGTCATGCTTGTGTCCACTTTTATTCCGTCCAGCAAAGTCTAGTAATACTTGTAGTTCAGAAACTCTAAAACTAGAAACCATATTCAGAGTGGCTAAAACGAAAAACAGTGATGACGCCAAATGGTGGCCAAGATGCAGAGAAACCGGATCACTCCATATGCTGCTGGTAGGGATGTAAAATGGGACAGCAACTCCTCAACGCTTCGAAATCTGTCATTTTAACCCTGCCACGGGACCGCTGCTGCCACCGCTCCCCCTCCTGCAGCACCAGAAACGCTGCCGCCACCAGGGCCGCCGCTTCCAGCACCATCCTGCACTGGGAGCCACTTTTCTTTTGATTCTATAAACCTATAAATTCCAAAAACTCCCTTTCTATAATAATAATGACACACTGGATCATTTATTATGTTCATTATCTGTGTTCTGCCTCTCATTTCTAGAATATAAATTCCTTTAAAGTGGGATTCTTTTTCACTTTTATTCCAAGTGAGTAATTCCGAGTAATTGGCTATCATATCTCTAAACCTCAAACACTTATACATGGTTAGCGTTTTAACCTAGTCGATAAAGCCTGATTTTGCTTTAGTCTACAAATGGGCAACCTGACATTAAAGACCAGAATGAGGTAAATAATAAGTAACTAAAAAATAAACACTCTAGATCGTCCACCTGGAGGATACACAGACCACAGAAACATCTCCACGCGCAGACCATTGTGTTCTCCCCCTCCGAGTGCCTGCACTCTTTCTCTGAGTGTGTGCTTCAGTTTCCCCTAATAAATGTGCCTGTGTCTCTTACAGTTCAGTACGCTCTTCTTTCTTTTTTCTTTTGTATTTTAGGGAAGGGCCTACAGGGTGTTCAGGGGCTCTCTACTAGATCGGACTCATAGTGATCCGCCTGTTTACAGTCTCCCAAGAGCTGGGATTACAGGAGCTCACCACTATGCCCAGTCTCAACTGCAGTCTCAGCAGGTCCCTGGGGTGGGGCTGGCATGGCAGGCCTGGGGATTGAAGCCTGGGTCCCTGTGTCTGCTTGCAGGTGCTTTAATCTGCTGAGCTACTTGGCCAGCCCCAGTTCAATGCGCTCTTTAGGGGACCTTCTCATGCCCTTCTAGTGACAGTTAGGTAGTGACATCTTTGTAAAATGAGGACGACAGTGTAGATCAACCTACAATGAGAGCATATCGCACAATGTACACTGAATTCATACTTTTAGCCTAAATCAAAGTTATTTAAATTCACAAAAAGCAAGAGAAATTCACTTACACAGCTTAACTTTAAAAAATAATGGTGCAGTTGTGTCTTTTACTCTAAGACATGATTATTTGCAAAATACTGATTATTTGCAGAACAAATAATGATAAATATTAACTGATATGTCAAGTAAAAGGCTTAAAGTTGGAAATTTCTTAAATATCCTTAATAATTTAAAATACATTAAATCCATGACATGAACATCCAGGGCTGGCATCATGGACTTGTGACCCATGCAGTCTCCCAGACCCTTGCTCGGAGGCTCCTGTGCTAAGTAAGGACTTTGGTCCTAAAATTTCTGTTATTGTTTGAAAAGAAAGGGTACCATAGTTTCATTTCACAGAATTTGTAGCCAGTCTTGGGAGTGGTTATTTTCAATTGTGAATAGCTATTGCCTCAAGGGTAAAGGATGTTTCAAAACCATTGGTCAAGTTGCAAAATACTTTGCTGTGTTCATACTATTTATAGTAAAAGGAAAGCAAAGTAAAGGGTGTATTATTCTTGTCAATGGACGATGGCGGCTTTCCTAAATTTTCACTCATGGGAGCTGGTCACATAGAGCTGGAAATAACCGTGAGGCTCCCAATTCCTCATGCTTTAAAAATCTCATCTCTAAGGCTGACAAAATACAGTAAGAGGTTGTTAGAATAGTCCTTCATTATACACACTGGAATACACATGTAAATTAATGGCATCAGACATTCATTCCCTTGGGTGGCAAGGTTAGTAGATATAATTTTTTTTCTTTCATGTATTTTGGTCCAGGGTCTCACCATGCAGCTCAGACTCACGGTAATCCTCCTGCTTTCAGCCTCCCCAGCACTGGGGTTGCAGGCATGTGCCACCATGCCCAGACTCAGTTGCGGGTTCAGTGAGTCTTGGGGCAGGAACAATGAGGCATGCAGGACCTGGGATTGAGCCCTGGTCCCTGTGCTTGCCAAAACAGGTGCTTAGTGTGCTGAGCTATCTCGTTGACTTGATTTTTAAAATTAAAAAATTATCATTTATTTATTTGCTTGACACAGAGTCTGGCTACACAGCTTAGACTCATAGTGATTCTCCTGTCTCAAACTCCCCAGTGCTGGGATTACAGGAGTATTCCACTATACCTGTTTTTAGTATTTGACATGGCATGTGGTACCAGGAATCGAACCTGGGATTTTGCACTTCTCATGCAGGTGTTTAGACTGCTGAGCTATCTCCCCAGCTGAGGTTGGTAAATTTTAAACTTTTTAAAAAATTATTTATTTATTTGTTATAGGGTCTCGCTATGCAGTTCAAACTCAAAGTGATTCTCCTGTCTCAGCCTCCCCAGCACTGGGGTTACAGGTGTGCATCACCATGTCCAGTTTTGGACCAGCACAGCATGCATAGCATGTGGTACCTGGGATTGAACTCAGATCCTTGCACTTGCGAGGCAGGTGCTTACACCACTGCACTATCTCCACAGCCCCAACTTAAAACTTTCTTATTCTCTTAAACCTTGAGATCTCAAATTCTGGCTCACACTGAGTGGAGTGGACCTCAAGCCAGGCCAGTTGTGGTCACATCATTAACTTTCAGGCTAGTGGAGAAGCCTGAGGTGGTGTCTCTGTTTTCTCATTTTATGATGCATAAGGAACCTCAGAGTTCTTTCTGGAAAACCCATAGACCGTGAACACATAATGCATTGTCAGTCCAGTCCTGAGCTGTGTGTGTGTGTGGTAATTCTGCTAATCCCTGCCACAGTTCATCCTGTAAGGTGGCTCCCAGTTTCATCAGATGGGCAGGTCGAGATGCACACAGCATTACTCACTGTTAGTAAAGAAGGAGTTGAGGGACAGACCCAGTACGGTGGCCCCACGGTGTCTGTTTGGATCTGTCCCCATACATGGGGAAGAGCTGACCATGGGGGGGATGTGACAGAGATGTGAGTCCCCGCTGGCTGCAGCAGCAAGAGCAGGAAGGGGCAGGGTCCTGTGAGGGACACACGCTCATAGTGCAGATCGCAGTGTGTGTGGTCTCTGCCACGCTGTCCTAGTCACTTATTCTCTTTTGGAAATAGAAGAGAAGGATTTGGGGATCTTTAGCTTTCTTAGAAAGTGGTGTGAGTTCCAGGCCACTGCTAGCACACCTCACAGCAGGAAGCTACGAAGCTAGGTCTGGCAAAGTGGCCCTGCCTTTGGTGGTCGCAGTGCTCAGGAGTGCAGTGATGTGCGGGCTTCACAGAAAGGTATTATCCATTCCTTTTTAAAAAATATTATTTTGGCTGGGGAGTAGCTCAGTGGTCTAAGTGCCTGCTTGGCAAGCACAAGGACCCAGGTTCGATCCCCGGTACCACATGCTGTGCCAGCTATCCACTTGAAGAAATGTGGCATAACACAGCAGCAGACGACAAGAAGCTCAGTGGACTAAACGCCTGCTTGGGCAAGTACAGGGACCAAGGCGGGCACGATCCCGCGGCATCCCATGCCATGCTGGCCCTGCCCTCAGCGCGCTGAACCAGAGTCCGGGCGTGGTGGTGCACGCCTGTAATCCCAGTGCTGGGGAGGCTGAGACAGGAGGATCACTATGAGTCTGAGCTGCATAGTGAGATCCTGTATCAAATAAATAGACAAAAGAGAATTCAAAAAAATGTGTTTTGTGGGGCTAGGGTGGGAGTGGGGTCAAACCCACAGACATTCTATCCCCTGAACTGCATTTGGAGAACACCTTTTCCCCTTTACTTTTTTCTTTTGAGACAGGATCTCATTAAGTTGTCCAGAAGGCACTCAAACTTGTAATCTAGCTTCTCATTGGGCATCCCCACACTTTCTGTTTCTTTCCCAACACCCTGCCCTCAGGTCTTCCTTACTTTGACTTCAAGGGAGCGGGAGTTGTTCCTGGGGATTCGGCCAGCTTGCACCAGGCCACGGAGCGCTGCAGGCATGCTGCGTAACCACGTAACCGTAACCGCAGGCAGCTGAGAGCCAGTTTCACTTTCCTGGGGACGCCTGCCTTCTGCTCACTCGCTCACTCGCTCACTCGCTCACTCGCGTGGAGATGCTGACACGAGCTCATCCTGATCCGTTGGCAGGATTTCCCCTGTTGCTGTTTGTGTCTTCTTGGGGCTTTCTTGGGGCTCTAAAAACAACACATCTCCGCCTAGGATATGCGGGGAGGATGCCACACAAGTTCTCAATTCTTTGAAATCTCTAAGCATCTAAAAAATATTCCTGCTGGGTAGGTGTGAGACGGTTTTTAAAACGTGGCACATTTCTCCCCCAAGCTTAAATTAGAACTTTTCAAGAGAAATTGAACGAAAGTATAAAATTATGTAAATGCTCTTCTTCCTCCAAAACAGAAACGATGCCACCCCTCCTCCGCGCCTCTGGAGTCAGCGTTGTTCAGGCAAGAGTGATCCCTGCTCACCCTAGTTGGCAGCAATCTTCCCTAGGGTGTCCCGCTATGTCTCTGATGAGTCCTACAAGCCAACATCTGCATTTATTCCCTTGCTTGCCTTTACTAGTGTGGAATCTTTCTAAAAATGTCTCACGTTCCTTTGGTCTGTGTGCTTCTTGCTGAAAAATACACAAACTCATGGGAGATTGAGGCTTGGCGAGGCAGCTTCTTCCAGGGCTGGGGGCAGCTGTTCCTGGGTACTCGGCGCTGGGCATGGGGAGAGAGGAGATTTCTTTATGTCTTGCCTCTGTTACTTCCTCTCTTTGGGATGGGGTGGGGGTACTTTCACTTCTCTGAGTTTCACCTTGTTCACCTGTAAAATGGGTTGCAGGGATTAAGCAAGCTGAGGTGTATCATGTCTACAAAGCTGCTGAAGTGCCCAAATGCTTGGGGTAGGGTGAGTTGTCC